CCCACTTCCAGGTGTCATTGTGCCAATGCGGGGACAAACACCTGTTTTTCTGGGAACATTTTTGGGGTGGGATTTATAAAAAATAATACCTGGAGCGCTGTTTTAAAGGGAACCTACAACATTTCCTATAAACTGCAGTGTGAAAATGAATACAAACTGCGCTGTGGGATGCAGGCGGCTTGTGGAAGATCTTCTAGCAAGTAATTCTCTACAGCGGCACATACATACCATTAGGGAGACATAAAACCAAAATACAGTCCAAAACATATTTGAGGCACGGTTACTATAGAAACTAAAACACATAGTGAAGGATAATGAATGTAACAATAGAAAGGGAGAAGCACTTCCGTCTTTTGAGCATTGTGGACGATGGCGAGGCAGCCGTTACATTCGTCTGAAGGATAGTAACTGTCCGAATATGTTCCATGAAGGATTCTTTTCGGGATATTTACTGTTCTCCTATAACAAAAAAACTCTCTAATCCAAACCTACCACTTCTGCATCCTCACAGCCCTGATGAAGCAGATCCCTAGAATGCATTGGCGCCTTACTTATCTATGATTAAAATGTCGCTTGGATTCAGCCATTGCCACTTCAATTCACTCTATCTTTCAATACATTTGCCGACTATGAGACATCAGCCATCTCTTCACCTATGAGCAACCTGTCTGGTACCTGCAGTCACTGGATTCCTTACACTTAGGGGGTCTATTCATAACCAATTGGCAGAGCTATTATACAAATCATTCTGAACGAATGCAAAAATGTTCTTTTCAGTTCGAATGTATATCATGTAATACCACATTATGGCCACTAGTTGGAGCTGAGGAACACAGAAATTACTTATTTCCTCAGCTGCTCAGCTCCATCTAGTGGCCATAATGCAATATTGCATCCATTGGACTGGAAAATTAAATATGTCTAAGAACAGGGGTGGGCAGCTCCACGCAGCTGGGCGGATCTCGACATCGATGTCGGGATCCGCTGCGGTGTCTCAGTATACCGCGACCTGAGCTTAGGGTGACGGGAGGACGCTAGTTTGTGTCCTCCCGTTACCCTAAGGAGAACTATGGGGAAAAGCCCTAACCCCATAGTTCTCCTTTAACTACAAATCCTATAAGGCCTCTGCGAGTCATGCCTGTAACCGTCTTGCAATGCCTCATGGGACTTGTAGTTCCACCACAGCTGGACGGCCGGAGTTGTCCACACCTGTCCAAGAACATTCTTTTTTGTGTCTATTTGCAGAGAATGAATGTTCGGAAATATTCGTGGGGCGAATGGCTTTGTGAATTGGTTATAAACAGACAACAAAGACTTATGGTTACGATCTACTAAACCTGGAAATGATTACCATTCCTCTTTGTCTATAGCATTTTTTAAAGGAAACCTTCAGGAATGTAGAAGTTTTTATTACTTATCGTGCAAGCTTCAAGGCTGCCACCTTTATCTTGATTTAACTACCTAGAGCAGGGTTAGGCATCCTCCAGCTGTGGTGAAGGCTCCGAGCGCCAACAATCATCCCACGTTCAAAGGCTGTTACATCGCGTTGTTTCCCCGTATCTTCAGAAACAAATCACTTCTACTGTCGTGGTAAACAACCTGCTTCCCTATTTATAATGGTCTGGCCCTCTAGCAACTTCAGCGCCAAATCATAGCTAATTTGCCTACAAACGTCACATGGTCATAATAATCTGGCCACTCAGTGTATAATAGACGTCACCAGCACTGGATAATGTATGGCCCAGAAGAAGGGACCCTGCGTGGCCTTGAAACGTTGGCTGTATGATGCATGTGATGATTTACACACATCATCCAGTGCTGGTGACTTCTATTATGGACTGTATCTGACACGGCGCCATGCGTGTTGTCACTTCAAGCACCAACCTTACATCCAAGGTCTGTATGCTGTATGGAGTGCCGGTGATTGGGTATTATCGATTTCATGCCCGTGACTGTCAGTCTTGCAATGCATCATGGGACTTGTAATCCCAGAACAGCTCGAAGGCTGAGGTTGCCTACCACTGGGTCTAGAGAGTCACCGATTCAGAACCAGCATGCAGTATCAGAGATACTACACATTAGAATCAAGTAATTGATGGCAGCTCTCGTATTTCCCTGGTGACAGGTTCACTTGATGACTCAAAGCTACAAAGATCTGGCTCTTGAATGTAAAATTGACACCGGCCGCATAAAATGATGGCTCGGGAATTTCACGCGATGTTATACGCATTGACAATTTTGGCCACGCAGCAGATGGCCATGATTTGGAAGCAGCGCTTGTGCTGTGCAGACTTAAAGCCAGAATTACATAACGTGTGCAATGCAGAGTTAGTATGAGAGGTCATTGGCTGTATATATTACAGGCTGATGTTCACCACGGATTGTGCACCGCTATGGACACCAGCCATAAACCCTTACACGACACTCTCTGCTCCCCTCTAGTGAGCCCCATTTAGCATTTGGCCACGTCAGGGACTGGAGTAAAACAATCTGCAGCGTAAGTGATTTGTGGAGAACGTGGAGGAAAATACAGTCATAGAATTCCCCGTGTGCTTGCATTTGTAGTAAATACACTCAGCACCTCTGATATTAGTCCAATGACGCTGATGCAGAACAGAAATTCTGGCTGCGCTACGGAGCCATGACCGGGATCCTCATCTCAATTGCTTGCTTCATTTACTTAGCATTCCGGCACTAAGAAGAGGACTTACAGCTGAGATGTCTACATGACATCTGCGGAATGACAAGTCGCACCGATGCACGCTCCTGGAATTATCACTATATGGAATGTATGTTACATTCCATAAGCGTCGGCGTATTTTATGGTTTGCAAGAGCACCTTGATTTCTTCTATTGAAAGTTAGACTCCAGGCACAGCTCAATATGCCGATGAAACACATATAAGGGAGACGTTTGACCCAACAAAGTCTGTATTTCAGTCCTAAGATTACCACTGGTCTTCTACCAAGTCCAGTCCCGTCAGGTAAGGAGAACTGATCACTGTCTGCTGTGATTTCACTTTCGGGTCTCCTCCCCGCACCATGAATGGAAAGGGAAAACAGAAGCAGAACATTGAGAAACTCCTCTCTTTGCTTTCTCCACCTACCAGCATGTGCCTTGCACAGGAGCACACCTAGCTGGCTCCTTGAGCTGCTTCTCCCTCACTTTCTCTGGCATGTCTATTCACCAGTGAGGATACCTTATAAATGTTGCTCAAGTAGCACTCAGCCCCAAAGGAGCCGATTAAATAACCGGGTCATCACTAGTCTGTCTAGGGGTTTCAGCTGCCCCATTAGCATTCAACTGCCCTCTTCTAGTGCCCACAAAGCTGATGTCCACTCCAGTAGTGCAATGCTGAATACGTTTTAATCAACATATTCACACTGGGGAGAGGGGGTATAGGGATCCTAGACATCCAGGCTGTAAGGGACATAGACTCCAGACTCACCAGACCTCTTAAACATCTCAGTGTAGATGCATTTGTGGTACCGTGAATTGTAATTGGAGTAACTGATGAGCAGGAGATGCATACAGGAGAGACACCAGCCATGCTAAAGAGGTTTTCTATGTTCCAGGCACCTCCAGTAGACATCTTTCCTGGTTTTCCTCCTCTGATAACAACACAGGCCTCCTCCATACTTGAGGCCTAAGGGGCCACTTCCCACACTCCAGCCTTTGCCCACCCCCGGGTCTCAGGCCTAGCCTGGGGGTGGCTGGACAGCACCCAGCCCTAATCCACGACTGGTACTGACTAGTTTGAGCACATGGCAATTCCCTCCAGTATATGTACCTTATCCCAGCATGCAACACTGGTTGGGAGAAACCCAGTGATTGGCTGCTGCACTGTACATACACTTACAGTGTCCCTCAATGGCTGTCCCACAATACAGCAGAGTCACACTCCACCCAGGGGGGTACAGTCAATGCCAGACATCTGGAGTTAACAGGATAAATGCCACTGTAATCCTACCAGGCTGACTACAGCCCCGGCAATAACTAAATGCCTAGTAGTCACCTCACAAAAGGTGATGGGG